CTTTTTGATGTTTGTTTACTTTTACATTTCTAATTTTACTTGTTGTTTTACTTGACTTTATCTAGCATTAGTCAGCTTCCACTGCCACTGCCTAGAAAACATTAGGCATTTTGTGACTGAATTTTGTCTGCCAGGTTTGTTCTCATCAGTTAATTTAATGACTCTAACTTTTCTCTGTCTCATTAAAGAGTATTTTGTTATCTGTTACTTTCGTCTAAGTTGTCGGGTTTCTTTGTCAGCACGGTATTTTTAGTTTGAGAGGGAAATGGATGATTTGCCCTGTGTGTGTGTGTGCACTACATATATATATATATACAGACTACACATTTTTATATACATACATAAATATTTTATCTGTTTAGGGCTTCAAGCAGCAAGCTCTTACAGTATCCACAGATCCTGAGCATCGCTTTGAACTTGCTCTTCAGCTTGGCGAACTAAAAATTGCATACCAGTTAGCAGTGGAAGCAGAGGTATGTGCTAATGCATGGTTTTTCATAACTGATGGAAAGGTCAGTAAGTACTTCCGTGTGTGTTTAGTATAAGTTGTGTTGTTAAAGTTTTCTGAAATGCGTATTAGTGACTCATTTTGGTGAGGTTATTGCTTCTCTTTGATCTTTTTAAAAAATGCATTATGTTAATCTTTGCATAAATTAAATGGATTATATTGGAGATATTCTGAGCATTCTAATTTGTTTAAAAAAAAGTGTTTTCATTTCTTATGAGATCTGTTTTAGAAGAGAAGGAAAGATATAAGATAGTAGATAAAGTAGTCTGGGAACTCTAAAAGAGTGCATACGTAGCAGTTATTTGCCAAACTAGTGAGAAAGATGGTTTTAAAGAAGGATTCTTAGCTTTTAAGACAGTTTACTGACATTTTTATGATCTTTGTACATTGAGGGCTCCCATTGTGGTTTAAGTCTAGCATTTGCTGGTAAGCTCATTTCACATGTGCTAAATAAATTCTAGATATGTTAAGATCACCACCAAATGTGCAGCTTTTTATTTGATTTATGAGAAGCTACAAATGACAGATATTTATTATTGTTAATTATTTAACAACATAAGAAACAGTTTTCTACTCTGAAAAAATATTAAATCACTCATTAAAATAATTGCAATCTAATTATCTTAAAAGTTCAGTTAGTTTTAGTTTCACTGTATAATTACAAAATAGAAATATAATGGGATTGATGATTATTCGTGCATCATTAAAATTGATTTGTGTGTTTGAATTAATTTTCTATATGTGAGAATTTCCATTTTCTCATTATACATTTTGTCATTCCATTCTTAGAACCAACTTAACAAGCACAGCTCAGTGTATATATATAAAATACTGTCGGCACAGTAATGCTCAGGTTAACAGAATAATGTTGATGTTGGAAATTCACATGTTTATCTTCAAAGGTATCTTAACTTGGAAACTCTTTCTTACAGTCAGAACAGAAGTGGAAACAACTTGCTGAACTTGCTATTAGTAAATGTCAGTTTGGCCTAGCCCAGGAGTGCCTGCATCACGCACAGGATTACGGTGGTCTCTTGCTTTTGGCCACTGCCTCTGGAAATGCTACCATGGTGAACAAGCTAGCAGAGGGGGCCGAGAGAGATGGCAAGAATAACGTGGCATTCATGAGCTACTTTTTACAGGGCAAGTAAGTATTAATCCAAGGTCTGAAAGAAGGGGCACTGTAACATAAAAATGCTTATTTGTGCACTGACTTGGAGGGTGGTTTCTCGAGAGGAATGTGAAGAACGAACCCTGGAGACGGAGCTGATGCCAGACTGAGCGGCTGCTCATGGGGGCAGTCAGAGGCGGACAGCACTGCTGTGGTGGCACTCACCTTCAGCAAGGGATGCTCTTAGCACATTTGGTCTAAATGTTTGAGCAAAATTATAAAATAAAACACAAAAATATTCATTAACCTTGCTCTAATACTTTTTTTTTTTTGGTGAGGAAGATTGGCCCTGATAAGATGTGTTGCCAGTCCTCTTCTTTTTGCTTGAGGAAGATTCTTGCTGAGCTAACATCTGTGCCAATCTTCCTCTATTTTTTGTGTGTGGGATGCTGCCTCAGCATGGCTTGATAGAGCAGTGTGTAGGTCTGCACCTGGGATCTGAACCCGTGAACCCCAGGCCACCGAAGCAGAGCACATGAACTTAACCACTATGCCACCAGGCTGGCCTCAATACCAACTTTTTAAACCCCACACTTTATTATAAAAACTTTGAAATGCACTCCAGTATATGTATTTATAAATTCATATACCTGTAAGAATAGGTTCACAATTCCTTATCCATAATTCAAAGATCCAAAAGTATTCAGAAAGTAGTTTTTTATAACTTTTTGATGGCAAAACCTGACCTGAACTCTGATTTATCTATTGTTAGCTGCTTTTACGCCCCTTGGAATGTTTTTATCACATTTAGTATTCATGTATTATTGTAGAATATTAGTGTTTGACTTTGATGCTGAGGATGTTAATGTTTAGTGTATGTACTGTATTATTACCTTTCTAAAATCCAAAAAATTCTGAATTCTAAAACACATTATCCACTTTATCAAGCTTACACAGAAAAACAATTGAAATTAAGGAAAGAAAAAATAGACACTTGGATATTTTCCTACTGGGCACCACTGGATTGTCCAGCACAGCCCATGTTGGAGACACTGCCCTCAGTATTCCCACTTGAGAAACTGAGTTTCTGCTCCCGTATCTTCTGAAGCCTTTAAGATGGGCTCATCTAAGCTGCTTTAACTTGTCTTGAAAAGCCCCTGTAGATTGGTCACAAAAGCTGTCTTATCCATCATAGTCCTGGAGTCCCCTGATTATGTAACACACTAGTGGTGACAAGTTAATGGCTCAGGGACAGAATGAAGCGTCTGTGTGGGAGTTGGGGAGGGAATGCTGACTTTGCAGCGCTAAATCCACATTTCTTTAATGTGTTAAGTGCCAGCATTATAGCCTTTATGCTTGGTAACAGTGCCTCTCCTGTTTAATCTTTAGGCTTGATGCTTGCCTGGAGCTCTTGATTAGAACCGGACGACTGCCAGAAGCTGCCTTCCTGGCCCGGACTTACTTACCCAGTCAGGTTTCAAGGTACAGACTTTTCATTTTAGGAAGAAATGTTTCAGATAAAAACAGCACACTTACTCAGTCTTCCTTTGGTTCCCTGATATCTGTAATAGGGTGGTGACACTCTGGAGAGAAAGTCTCTCAAAAGTCAATCAGAAAGCAGCAGAATCCCTTGCTGATCCAACAGAATATGAAAACCTTTTTCCTGGATTGAAAGAAGCGTTCATTGTGGAAGAATGGGTGAAGGAAACACATGCTGATCTGTGGCCAGCCAAACAATACCCACTTGTCACAGTGAGTGGCCAGGATGCCAGGCTTCATTTGGTCACCCTGTGACTACAGGGTGGATTTGCATTCACAACTTAAGGTTTCGAACTGCAGTACATACATTGTTGTTGGATTAAGAGCTAATGGGGGATTTAGGACAAGATCATAGATGAGTTCTGACTTTAGAATATTTTATTTCATCATTGCTTTGTTCTCTGCTAGCCAAATGAAGAAAGAAATGTTATGGAAGAGGCAAAAGGCTTTCAGCCCTCAAGATCTGCAGCACAGCAGGTCAGTAGAATACTACTGTGATAATCTGGTTGAGATTTGTTCATTTTAAGTATCATCTCCCACTTCCTAAATCTGATCAGCCTTCCCTTGGGGAAAACTTCAAATTACTGAACAAGTTCCTTTGTTTTCACATGTATCTCCATTTGGGTTTTCAGGAACTTGATGGAAAACCCGCTTCTCCTACTCCAGTTATCGTGGCCTCCCACACAGCCAAAAAAGAAGAAAAGGTACAGACATCATACCCAAACTTCCCACTGGGACCCCAGCCTCATGCCTCCCTCTGCATTGCATGAGGTGTCTGCAGAAGGTGCAGCCTCTGCATTTTAAGTGATGTAATCAGTTTCAGAGCAGGGCTTTGAAATGAATGGGGAGATGCCCTTTTTGAGTGACTGCTGTTTTGGTTCTCTTTGGATCACCAATCAGAGAGAACTTGTCTTTAACACAGTACTACATAACTCACCTCCTTCCTTTTCTTTGCAGAGTTCACTTGAACTGGAAGATTTGGATAATTTGGACTTAGAAGATATTGACACAACAGATATCAACCTAGATGAAGATATTCTGGATGACTGAACATACTGGTTCCCATTTCCCCGTTAAACAGCTCATTATTGGGCCCAGGTATTGATCGTCACCCTGACCACAGTGCTTTGGACTCTGAGAAACTCCTTAGGTTTTTATATGTGAACACTGTGGCCAGCTAGGAGCATAATGCGCCCCCTCCTCTTAGGAGGAGTGTATGCACAGCATCTAAATCACTGTTTCCTTGTTAACTAAAACAGAGGGTGGGCTTTGATCTTTTTTCATATTGTCACTAGACCATATCTCATAAAATTTTCTGAACTAATGAAGATACTTCAGAGTTTCTTTTCTGAATAATGAACATAGGCTTCTAGTTTTAGAAGGCTGAGCTAAAGCTACACCTCACCTAGGATCAGCCTCCATTTTCTTTTCTTTGCATAACTAAATCATATTTTCAAATATCATTATCACATTTTTTCTTATAACAGAATATCCATGCTAGAATTCTCTAACCTGGTTTTCTTGATCTCACTGCATTAATCCCCTCAGTCTGTGTAGCTTGGGTTCTTGTGCCTTGCCCTGATTTTGTCTAGTAGCTACCTGTCTCTGGAATCAGAGTCTGAAATTCCAGCTCCTCTGACCTCATTAAGCAGGGCTGTTTAAATTACCTCCTCGCCTGTTTGGTAACACAAAAGCTATAGTATGTTTTTTCTTTTTTACACTGCTCTTGTCTGCTTAGGCAACTTCATAATCAGGCACTGAATTATACCTCGCAGTGATCGCATCACCTGGTAGCCTAGGAAAGTGAGTGGGTAACAAATTTTTCTTTGTATTTCTGTACTATTTAGAATTTAAAAAACAATTTTATTGGGAACTCCAAATCATTACCTTTTAATTCTGACATTTTTGAAGCATTCAGCTCAATATTAACAGAGAAAGCTGGTTAGTATTTAATAAAATGAAATTTATTTAAAAAATATTTTCAGGAAGCTGCAGAATGGCTAATGAATGCTTCTTGATAAGCTTGCAGTGTTAATTCTATATATGCTCCCTTCTGTGCTTCTGTTTTTGCAAAGACCTGTTTAAATTAAAAAAAAAAAAAAAAGTTGTAAAGCAGTAGAACACACACTGAAGTTTCCAGTTTGGAGACTTCATTATCCCAGTGAAAAAGTCTTCCAAGTTTCACAGTTCTTTTTTCTGGTTATAAAACAGAAGCGTACTACATGGACTGAAAACAGCATCCAACACAGTTCAAGCAATACGAATTCTAAACGCCAGAGGCATCTTAATATGACTGCCGTTTCTTTTAGCCTGTTTCCAGAAAAAAATTAAGAAAACCTGACATTGCACCTCCTGCTAGATCAAAATGAAAACCATCCTTAAGAGTGAGAGTTAGCAAACCAATCTTTTTCCCTAAAAGCATTTTGCTTTATCTGGCTTATCACATAAAATCAGGCTTGGTACTGTAGTTTCTCTCTACTCCTCCCGGGATCTCATCACTGGTTGTTTTTATCCTGTAAGCTTTATAGCTGCTTTGCAGTCTGCATAAAGTACTGGGATAGAAGCTAGATCCACAAAACCATCTCTCTGCTGAGCATCTTGGGCTCCAGCTGTGGCTCCCCAACCCCGTCTGTCTCTGTCATCCAGGCTGAAGAAATATGAGGGCTCTAATCACTCTGTTTCCACGGAGTGGAGACCACAGTGTTCCACAGAAACCACTATTCACGAATCTGTTTAGTTACCATTAAATATGACCCACTTTAGAATACTTCCCAACTCAGCACTTGACAACAGGCAGTGTGAAAAAAGTTCCTTTACCTTAATTAATTGTAATCCCTCAGCAGCCTGCTCCTTGGCCTCTTGAGCTGACTGGCTGTCTGGATACAGAATGTGATACAGCTGGACCAAGCTGGAGGCATCATCGACTCTACAGTGAAAGAGTTTAACTGTTATCGAGGGGTTTTTTTCATTTGCTTCACAGTCCTATAAAAACGTGTGCCAACTTAAAACTAAATTACATTTCAGACTTTCTTAGGGCCAGAAAAACTTTCTTAAAGGCCTTCCATTTTATAGTTTCAAAGGCGTTTTCAGGAAAATGGGCTAATTTAGGCTTCACACCCACCTACTCTGCGGTAGGTAGGCAGGAGTCACTATAGGCAGGGCCCAATTTATGAAAGTGAATATATTCTAAACGTGGCTGTTTTCTTTTTGGAAATGGAGCACCATTTTTCACAGAAACAGCATTCCTAATGGTAGATGATTTCTAGGTCAGCCCACTTCACCAGCAGATAATAATGTAATCCAACTCGGAGGGTAAGAATATGCCTTCATCCTACATAATCCAGAGGCTGGTCGTCATGGCGATGCTCAAAGCCACCTGCCTTTAAGTGCAGTAGCAGTGACATCTCCTAACACGTTTTCATTGAGACTCCGAATTAACAGATAAATGCCTCCACAACAGTCTAAGGAAAGACTCCCAGGCCACTTGTCTATTTATAGGAACCCATTAGTTAAAAATTAGCATCCTAGTGAAGCAAATCTGAAATTACACACATCAGACGAGTCAGGTTCTACTTCGGCCATCTAACTTTAGTGTCACACAACTCTTTGATGAAGCCAGAAAGAGAATTCAATTCTTCTGGTTTGTATTTACCTTTTTGGAACCCTAGAAACAATTTTTATCAACATTAAAACTTCCCTAGCCTTCTCCAAACCATCACTATCTTCTCACACAGTCAACACCTTCCTACCACTTGCCACCTCAAAGCTGAGAGGACATATAAAAATAACGCTTCCAGAAAATGCTTGTGCTTTTGAGTTCTGCTGTATACACTTAGTGAGCTACTGGCTTCTAGTTGGGGGTGAGGACACCCTATTCACTCCTCCCTCAGCTATCACTCTTCAACCTTCCCTGCTTTCCTGTGACCTGAACTGGGGGATAAAGACTGGGTGATAGCAGGAGTAGGTTAAAGAATTTCTCAAGCCACTGTGACCTTAGAGAAATGCTCTGGGCTTATCCCAAGGCCCATCCATTCTAAAGGCTTCTCTTGGGAGAAATGAGAAGCCAGAGCTGCTCGTATAGTAAAATTTTCCAGGGGAAAAAATTCAAAAATGTTCATTACAAATCTTTTGTGCTTGTTATAATCTTATTAAGTCCAATAAATGTGGCAACAAAATATCTACCCAAATAAATAAAAGATAAAAGTAATTCCCATTAGAGCTTAGGCATGTGGCCCTGTAAAGAGCTTAACTGGGTTTCCATACGTTAGAATCATGTGTAGGGCTTCATTACATTCATGCTAAAGTATCATGCCTGCATCTCACAGAACAATTGACTTCACACCCAGCCCATATATTTGAAACTGAGAGCAAATAAATTTACATGTTCAAAAATATTTAAAAAGCATATCAGTTCAAAACCATCAGTGGGACTTGAGTCTGGAATAAATGTGTGCAGAATCCTAAGTCTGGCCTGGGCTCCACTCAGGATGTGCACCCTCTACTGTCTAGCCTGGGATTTGCAGCAAGCTGTCCTGTTCAGGACTCCCACAGGAATGGTTTTACTTATGCAGAGCAGGAAAGGTTAAGTACTCAAATCTCCCTCTCAGTATGCAAATAAACTGTTTCAGATGTAAAGCTTCCATGTGATAATGAGTACTACTATAACATCACATATTAGTACACCTCCATAAAGAACTTTAATTTTCAAAGTTATCTATTTCTATGTTGCTCTAATTTTTTACAAAAAACATTATATTCTTTTTATAAGAAAATAATTTCAGAATGATTACATTTGAGAAACTTAAGAAAATTCATTCACAGGAGATGTCACTAACACACCTAAAGGCAAGTCACATTTGACCATCCTTATGGTCAGCCAGCCAGCCCCCTGCTTATGTGGGATGAAGGTATATTTCTGCCCTCTGAACTGGATTATTCTACACATGATGGTGAAATGGGCTGGCCGGAAAATCGTCTACCATTAGGAATGCTGTTTCTATGAGAAATGATGCTCTGCTTCCAAATATGGGTTGTGTTTCTTAGACAATGCCTATGGAACCTTCTAGTTCTAAATGCCTTACCTTTGTGTGAATGGTTCAGATTACATGGAGGATACTCTGAGTCAAAACTTCCTTACAGTCTGAAGGTGGCAATAATCACTAAAACCTCTTCTTGTAGTTCAGACTTTTGAGTTAAGCAAGGACTTTTTGTGGAAAGTTGACTTTCTTACTGCAGCCACACTGGTTTTTTTTTTCTTGTCATTTTGGCTTTTCTAACCCAACCAATAGAAAGATACTCAAACAGTTTCTCTTCAGTTTTATCACAAGTTGTAAAGTACACTATCATTTCAGCTAGAAGCCTGGAAGCACACGAGTTTGCATGCTAAAATACAACAGAAATTGTTTCACACGACTTTGAAAATTGTAACTTTCTCAGTGTCTTAAAAATAGTGCAGAAGCAAGAGTATTTTCGTAAACTAAATGATGACTTTTGCTGAAAAGCCCTAGAAATAGTCCTACTAGAAAATAAGTGCCCACCAGAGCTTATGGCTACTTCTTTACATTTCCTATTTAATCCCCTTGAGTATCTGGAAAGGTGACTGATGCCCAGGAGCACTGGCGAGGCCAGGGCTTAAGTCCATATCAGGTGTACATTACAGTTCCAAAGCCACCTACTCTTTCAAAGGATCTAGCCCTGTTTATACAACACAAAAGCAAGGACAGAAAACTGGGTTGTGCTGAAAGAACAAACCCAGAAATAAACTGAGATTAGTGAAAGCTATCTATCACTTGACAATATAATGTTACCACTGGGAAAATAACATAGCTTAAATACAGATTTACTGTGACGGTAGTAAGAATTTATTTTACCTGCTGAGATCATACTTACAAATCTCTCTGAATCTGGTCAATCAGTAAGCCATCAATCCTTTTTTTATTTACAAAATACCAAGCCATTCCACCAAAATGTCTTGTTGAACGTAAAAGGTCATACTTTCCATGTTTATCTACATCTTCGTAGGTCTGATGGTGAATCTAGCCACATAAAACGCAGTTTTCAGAAACAGGAAAAAAGAAGTGAGCAGCATTACTGGATATACTATGCTAGCACGAGTGCTGCGCAGGAAAGTTATCAGTGGAACTAGGTCTCCTTAAGACCTGCCTCCGCTATCATTAACGAATAGGTTCGATTTAGACCAGCCTTCCACTGTAGAAGTACGTGCAGCCTGGAACAAGTTTGTCGAACATTTACAGCCATATCAACTACTTTTCAGCAGCCAAGCATTATCTATGAAGTACCTATGACATACTTATAGACCACTGGAAACAACGGACCACCATTTCTTGGTCACTGGGGGGAAAAAAGAAATCAAGAATGTTCTTTTACTCCTCCCCTTTTCTCCTAGCCCATCAACTACCCCCATTCCATCTTATTAACTAATGTCCCTTCAGTTCTCCTTCCAGATTGATCTTCCCAAATAAGGACTTTGATGAGGGCATTCCTGTGTTTAAAAGGCTTTCAAAGGCCTGCTGGTTGAAGTCCAGATTCCTCAGCCTAGCATCTCAGGTCACCCATGATATGGCCCCATCTACCTTTCTAGCTTAATCTTAAACCACTCCCCTCTATATAAATTGCATGTACAAGCAAACCAGATGATGGTCCATTTCTCAAGCATACTTTGCTGTTTCCTGCCTGTTGTTGACACTGTTCACTCTACCTGAAACACCTCTCCTCACCCAACTCCACCCCCACCCTTCTAGAACCCTCTTCAAAGACCCCTATGAAGCCCTTCTGAGAGCACTTTGTAACTATCTCTTAGCACCTAACATCTTAGACTTAAGGTGATAATTATCCGTATATTTATCTAGCACCCTTCCCCACAATCATTTCGGGACTGCAAACTTTAACACAGCACACCCTATCCTAGTTCCTGTCATCACCTATACCATCCACAATAATACGTTACACATGGAAGGTACTACATGATTATTTATTAAATTGAACTGTAAGACACATTCATTGCATTTTGGCAAATTCTGGTAAATAACTTTGTTCCTGTGTGATAAATTGAAAAGAGGACAGGCTTTGCCATCAGGTTTGGGTCCTAACTCTACCACTTACTAGCTGTACAACTTTCAGCAAGCTACTTAACTCTCCAAGCTTAAATTCTCTCATCCTTAACTCAGAGGTGGTTGTGGGGATAAAATATCTATCTGGTATACATATCAGGTACTCAAGAGGTATTCAAGTATTTCCCTTCTCTTTCCCCTGTATCAAAGCTTATAACCTAACTCATTGTGCTAGATTAAAAATCTTACTCATAACCATACTTAAAGCCCATAATTTAGAAACTATAAAATATACTCACTTTGATATATTCAGCAGAATCTGGCTCAAACTGGGCAACACAGAGATTAAGGACATCAACATGCCGGTCCTGACTGTACATTGTCTAAAAGCAAACAGCAGAGTAGGAATTAGATGAAAGGAAAACCAAAGTTCAACACCTGTTCTGATGCCGTGACAGGCCTCCCCATCTCCACACAGGCCCCATCTGTGCCCATCAAGAAGCATGCACAAGTACCACAGGCTTTGTAATTGTCACACCTGGATTCAGTCCCAGCTAAGCCAGTTACAAGACAGATAATCCTAGTTAATCATTAGACATTTACCTGTGTTTATCAAAGCAAAATGCCCAGCAGCATCAGAGCCAACTGATTTAACAAAGAAACCATCACCACTGACTCTGAAACCAGTCACCTTACCTTAAGATTTTCCTCCTTGAAAATTATTGGTGTTAAAACTCTGCGACCTTCCTTTGGGAAATAAACTTGTATCATCCGGTCCCGTTCTTCCCAAGAGGCTTTGCGTAGTGTGCCACTTGGTTCTCTGACGACAATAAAACGTTCCTGAAATAGAAAACATAATCAAGGATGAGTTTGTGAGGACTTATTTTTAGTTCCAGTGTTCCACTAAGCACTATTATAAAAATAATTTGCAATCAACAATATAAAATGCAACTGGGCAAAGTAACATGCAATCACATGTATGATTTCAATGATAATTTTAAACCGCAGAGACTTGGCAAGATTTGATACTTCCTTTACTAATCACTGCTGTGCTTCTGACCATCAGAAATCTAAAACGAAAGTATTTACTAAGTGCCAACTATGGTCCTAAAGTGGGTTCAATATATAACATGGTTCAACTAAAAAAAGCTGATCTGAGATTCATCAAAGTCCATTTCAGTGGAAAGAAGTGCTGTAAGGCCTTTCCAAATTGTTTCACTTCCCCATCCCAAAGTCTCTCTTATGACTCACTTTATGATCCACTTTTCAAGTCCCTGGGATACATAGATACAGGAAACAAACTGGTGGTTACCAGAGTGGAGAGGGGGTTGGCCAAATAAGTGAATGGGATTAAGAGGTACAAACTTCAGTTAGAAAATTAGGAAGTCATGGGGATGTAATGTACAGCATAGGGAATACAGTCAATAATATGCTAATAACTTTGTATGGTGACAGATGGTAACTAGACTTATCGTGGTGATCATTTCATGATGTATATCAATACTGAATCACTATGAAACTAATCACACCTGAAACTAACAGGATATTTGTATGTCAACTATACTTCAATAAAAAAATTTGTAAAAAAATAATAATAAAGTCCCTGGGATAAAAGGAACAAACCCAAGAATGTGGGGTTTATGATTCCTCATACTGGCATGAGACATAAATGTGTCAGAGAAACTGACCAGTCCACCTGCCTCTAGCCTCTTCACTCTTCCGACTGCCACATCCCAGGACTCAGGATCACTTCCTCTGAATTCCACTCACTGTTTGTACCACTCAACTGGCTATTTATCATGTGCAAGGTTCTTGACACCTCTCAGATATTGTTATAAAACTCGAAAAGGACAGGAACTGTGGATTATAATTCTTTGCAACACCTGGAGTGACTTACACAGAGCTTTGCACATAGCAGCTAATTGATACACATCTGATTAATGTACTGACTTTTCAGAGGTATAAGAGTTTTGAGGATAATATAATTAAAACTTTCATCAAGTAGTGCAAATAGGAAAAAAACCAGCAAATGCCAAAATAACACAATTGTTTCTCAAAAGGATTTTGGTAATTTGAATTCCAAGTTCCCTTCTCCCTTTCAGGTTATAGAATGTTCCCACAACCAGCCTTCACAGCACTGCAAACATGAGTAAAGCACCCCAAGCAAAAATTCTAATTAAAATGAAACTCTGTGATCCTTGTTCATTATGTCAGGTATACAGGCAGTTGATATATAGACATGCACATTGCTCAAATCATGTCTTCTAACCATTATTTATGATAAAGAGATTAATATGGGGTGGCCCTTCTCTCAACCATAGCATTATACAGAATTCTTCTGCATTTTGTGGGCTGAACTGTAAATTATTCTCTTTTTACCCTTTACTTGAAAAGGTTCAAACACAAAACATGTATTTTCTAAGTGCCAGAGTGTTCTTCTGGAACTGGCAATCAAGGGAAGAAGAGCTAGAGAAGAAAAACTCCCACAGAAGCAGCGGTGCTGTCTGAAAGTTACCTGGGGATATCTGCCATTCTTCATGCAAATTCTGAAAAGTGAAAATCCTTTGGGAAGTGTGGGTTTTTTGGCATCATCAAGAATTTACAGGAAAGAAACTCTTCATCTTCTCAGAAAGCTTCAGCTCAGTCAGTCAGTCTAACTTGGACAGAAAGAATCCCCCTTCTCCCACTGCCTTAAGATCTCTGCCTGTTTGTGGTTTGAGTGTGGGTGTCTGTCTGTAAAGCCCTCGTTCTATCTCAGCACACCTGCCTCTAGTCTTGGAGTTAATCTGGAATATACTGGGTGCATAATCTGTAGGGATATGGTAAAATGATGATGTGGGGCTGGTCTGCAGCTCTCTTCTTCCTTATGCTAATCTTCTAGAAGGATCTCACCCAGTCACAGGAATTCTGGTGTGGAAGATTCAGACAGCTGGGTCACATGATGCTAAAACCTTGTCCCAGGCCCATCTCCACATAAAGATCACTTTGCGATGAGAGGTATACTCACCCGGTGTGGTATGCTGTATGATATATCAGTAAACACGTATTTGGCTGTTTCTGTTCCTTCCAAAATCTTATCTTCAGCTAACACGTCATTTATTGGCGCTCGCTCTTCCAGAACTGGTGGCATTTTTAATCGTACTTTAGCTGCCTCAACTGCCTGTCTTGTAGCCTAATGAAATAAAATGTTTTTTTTTTTTTTTAAAGTGAGTAGATTTTTTTTTTTTTTTTTAAGATTTTATTTTTTCCTTTTTCTCCCCAACGCCCCCCGGTACATAGTTGTGTATTCTTCGTTGTGGGTTCTTCTAGTTGTGGCATGTGGGACGCTGCCTCAGCGTGGTCTGATGAGCAGTGCCATGTCCGCGCCCAGGATTCGAACCAACGAAACACTGGGCCGCCTGCAGCGGAGCGCGCGAACTTAACCACTCGGCCACGGGGCCAGCCCCGAAATAAAATATTTTTTAAGGAATGCCACAAGGTTACAGACCAAAAGGACCATCTGACAAAGGAGATACTAATCAAAAATGCTAAGGACTGCAAAGAGAAGGAGCTGTAGCCATGAATCAGTGAGTGAAAAGCGAGACTCGGGATCCTGGACCCTGGCCCTTGCCTCTGGTGTGACTGAGAACACCGGCTACAGGCTCGACCAGTCTCAAAACAGCAAAGGAACGCTCTGAGACAGAGCCAGGGCACACAAGAGCTGCTTCAAATAGATAAAGGGTTTCGTTTATTGGGTGCTTACTACGTGCCAAATATCGTTCAAATACTCTGAATGTATCTAGCTCATTTAATGTCCACAATTACCATGAGAGCTAGGTGCTACTGTTATCTCATTTTATCAGAGGGAAAATAGAGGCACAAAAATGTTAAGTAAACTGCTAGGAAGCATGGGATTTGAACCCAGGCAGCTCCACTCCAGAGCCCACGCTCCTCACCACCGCCCACACCCTCCATGCCATTCTGTCAACAGTGATTACCTCTGGGCGGTGAAAGGGGGACTCAGTCTTCGTGTGATACACTATCGGATATTTGAGTTTTTGCTATGACTATAAATAACTTTTGAATTAGAGCAATAATGCTTCACATATTCATATATCAAAGCGTTTTCCACAAAGCACTCAATACCCACGACTCCAGGAGGACACTGGTGCCTGGAGTAGGATGCTGTTCAGCAAGATCTCATAATCTCACCAAAGCTTCAGCCTCAAAGCAGCTCACAGCAGATGTTTCTCCAGGAGGGAAGCTGGGGCAGGCAGGATAAAAAGAAGGATGCTCACGCTGGTTTTGGAGCAGAAGGCTCTGCTTGGACACCCAGAGCTGACCCACATGCCCTGGCCTGCCTGATTTTGGTCATGCTCCCTGCTCCTTTCTGCCTGGCTGCTCGCCTTTCTTTTCTTTTCTCAGTTCTGTGCCTGAACACGCCCTCATTAGTAGCTGTGGAAGAGCAGCTATCAGCATCTGGAGCGGCCTCTGGAAATCTTGTTTAACCCTTTAAAGGAAGGTATTCTACCAATATTCCTGCACTGACATACCTCTTCCAGCTGTGCCTGGGTCATTAGCTTATAGGTTGGTGGCTTCAGTTCTTGTATAGCTGGCTTAAAAACCTTCTGCAAATTCAAGCCTGTCATCTTGATGAGTATGGTTTGGACTTCCTCATCCATAAATGTAGGTTTCTTGATCTGTGAGCTACCAGATTCTGTGAAAATGGGTTTCAGTATATAAGAAGATGGCAAAAATGACAAGCCAACAAGACCTCTAAATACAAAAGTAAGTCAACAATAAAAACGATTAATACAATGTCTACCTCAGTATGCATAATGCTAATACCTAGGAGAGTCATTCATTCATTCATTCCTTCACTTAAAATTTATTGAACATTCACTAAGAAAAGCAGAGTTTCTGCCAAAAAGGCACTCAAAGTCTAGTGGAGGAAGCAGTAGGAAAAAAGTACTTCATGTAATACTACTGCGACTACTAATGGCTGCTGCCACTTACAGAGCTGTCTCGCACATGCCAGGCACTGCAGACACTTTCAGGAACGCTGACAAGAAGCCACAAACTAGCTATTGATATTCCAGTCTTATAAATGAGGAGGACTGGAGCCTGCCTAAAGACAACTGGCTATTAAGTTGTAGAGCCACAATTTAAAACAAGGTTCATGCCACAACTAGAAGGACCTGCAACTAGGATATACAACTATGTACCGGGGGGATTTGGGGAGATAAAGCAGAAAAAAAACAAATTGGCAACAGTTGTTAGCTCAGGTGCCAATCTTTCAAAAAACACCAGAGTTCATCTGATTGTAGAGCCTGTCTCAACTGTGATCTACCATGGTGCTCCTCAGTGTAAATGCTACATACAGGGAGGTACGAGGGGTTGTGTGACTAAAGAGCCAGGAAGTAAACAGAGCCTGGGAGCAGAAAGGGCATGGTAGGGTCAAAGACGGCTCACTAGGGACCTGAGTAGGGCAGAGAAAAAAGGGAAGGAGACTCTAGGCTGAGGGGGTGCTGCTGGGAAAGAGAGGCCTGGATCACTGGATCTGCTGCTGCAGAGGCCCTGTGGTGTCACGGAAGAGCCTTGGACGGGAGCGCACACCCAGATCTCAGCTCTGCCTCATGCGGTTTGCCTAGCCCCCATTTCCATTTCCACTAAGAAAAAAAAAGCCCCCCTTCCCAGCCACCTCTTCCTCTGCTGGTCCCATAAATGTTGGTGTCCCTCAGGATTCTGAACTACACCCTTCTCTCTTCTCACATTCCTGATGGATGATCTCCTAGCCTATAGTAACCTCTATTACTTCTATATGCTGGAGATTCTAAAATCTGAATCTTCAGCCAAGATCATCTTCCATCCAACTACCCAATGGACATCTCACGTGCACTTCAATCCTGCCAAGCAGAACCCATCAACTTTCTCCTGTCTCAACCTCCTTTTCCTACTAATCCCTATCCTAGCACCATCCAATAGGTCCTGTGGGCCAGAAACCTTAGTCATTCTAACTTCTCCTCTACCCTCCACATCTAGCCAAGAGCAGTAAAATAATAATAGTAATGATACCAGCTGACCATCTGTTAGATATTTATTATGTGCCAGTACTTACTGAGCTAAGTACTTTATATACTTAGCACATTTAATCCTTACAATAACCCCATAAATACTATGATTATCCCCATTTTACAAAAAAGAACACTGACACCGAACATACTACTTGTTACACCTCATAAATCTCTCCTTAATCCTCCATTTCCCACTGCCACGACCCTAGTCATGGCCAACCTTCTCTCTTGCCTTAACCTCCTAACTGGTCTCCCTGCCTCCATTCTGACCCCATCGTGGACCACTCTGCACAGAACCAGAGTAATCTCTTAAAAATTAATCAAAACAACAGAAAAGTTCAACAAAACTAAGAGTTAGTTCTTTGAAAAAATAAACGACAAACCTTTAGCTACACTAACCAAGGAAAAAAGAGAGAGGACCCAAATCAACAAAATTATAAATGAAAAAGGAGACATTACAGCTGATACCACAGAAATGCAAAGGATCATAAGAGGCTACTATGAACAACGATATGCCAAGAAACTGGACAACCTAGAAGAAAAGGAAAAATTCTTAGAAACATACTACCAAGACCGAATCAGGAAGAAACAGAAAACTCGAATAGACCAATTAAAAGGAAACTGAATCAGTAATCAAAAATCTCCCAACAAAGAAAAGCCCAGAACCAGATGGCTTCACTGGTGAATTTTACCAAACATATAAAGAAGAATTAAGCTAGTCTTTCTCAAACTCGCCCAAAAAAAAATCAAAGAGGAGTGAACACTCCCAAATTCACTTTACAAGGCCAGGATTACCCTGATACCAAAGCCAGAAAAGGATATTACTAGAAAAGAAAACTATAGGCCAATATCCCTGATGAAGATAGATGCAAAAATTCTCAATAATGCTAGCAAACTGAAGTCAGTAGCACATTAAAAAGATTATTCACCATGATCAAGTGAGATTTATTCCTGGGATGCAAGGATGGTTCAAACATACTCAAATCAATAACCGTGATATATCATATTAATAGAATAAAAGGAAAAAAATCATATGATCATTTCAATAGATACAAAAAAAGGATTTGACAAAATTCAACATCCGTTCATGTTAAAACTCTTAACAAATTAGGTGTAGAAGGAACGTACCTCAACATAATAATGACCATATACGAAAAACCCACAGCTAACATCATACTCAATGGTGAAAGATCGAAAGCCTTTCCTCTAAGATCAGGAACAAGACAAGGATGCACACTCTTGCCACTCCTATTCAACACAGTATTGGAAATCCTAGCAAAAGCAATCAGGCAAAAAAAAGAAAGAAAGAAAAGGCATGAGAATTGGAAAGGAAGAAGTAAAATTGTCTATTTGCAGATGACACGACATATGTAGAAAATCCTAAAGACTCCACTAAAACCCTGTTAGATCTAATCAACAAATTCAGTAAAGTTGCAGGCTACAAAATTAACATACAAAACCCAACAGCATTTCTATACACTAACAATGAATTATCTGAAAAAGAAATAATGATCACACTTACAATAGCATCAAAAACAATAAAATACTTAGGAATAAATTTAACCAAGGAGGTGAAAGACCTCTATACTGAAAACTACAAGAAACTGATGAAAGAAATGGAAGAAGACACAAATAAATGGAAACGTATCCCATGTTCATGAATTGGAAGAATTAATATTGTTAAAATGTCCATACTACCCAAAGTCATCTACAGATTCAATGCAATCCCTATCAAGACTCCCATGACATTTTTTACAGAAGTAGAAAAAACAATCCTAAAATTTACAGGAAACCACAAAAGACCCTAAGTAGCCAAAGCAATCCTGAGAAAGAACTAAGCAGGAGGCATCATACTTCCTGATTGCAAGCTATAGTTTAAAGCTATAGCAATCAAAACAGTATGGTACTGGCATAAACACAGACACACAGATCAATAGAATAGAATTGAGAGCCCAGAAATAAACCCACACATATATAGTCAACTAATATCTGACAAGGGTGCCAAGAATAGTCAAAGGAGAAAAAACAGTCTCTTCAACAAATGGTGCTGGGAAAACTGGATAGTCACATGTAAAAGAATCAAACTAGACACCTATCTTACACCACTCACAAAACTTAACTGGAAATGGATTAAAGACTTAAATGTAACACCAGAAACCATAAAACTCCTAGAAGAAAACATAGGCAGTAAAATCCTTAACATCAGTCTTGGCATGATATGCTGGGTATGACACCTAAAGCACAAGCAACGAAAATAAAAAATAAACAAGTGGGACTACATCAAACTAAAAAGCTTCTGCACAACAAAAGAAACAGCAGGGGCCGGCCCCGTGGCCGAGTAGTTAAGTCTGCGTGCTCTGCTGCGGCGGCTCAGCGTTTCGCTGGTTCCTATTGTGGGCGTGGACATGGCACCACTTGTCAGGCCACGTTGAGGCAGCATCCCACATGCCAAAACTAGAAGGGCCTGCAACTAAGATATACAACTATGTACCAGGGGGATTTGGAGAGATAAAGCTGGAAGAAGAAGAAAAAAAACATTGGCCACAGTTGTTAACTCAGGTGCCAATCTTTAAAGAAAAAAAAAGACTGGCTGTAGTTGTTAGCTCAGGTGCCAATCTTAAAAAAAAAAAAAATCAGCAAAATGAAAAGACAACCTACAGAATAGGAAAAAACATTTGCAAATCATATATCCAATAAGAGGTTAATATTCAATATATATAAAGAACTCATACAACTCAATAGCCAAAAAACAAATAATCCAACTAAAAAATGGGCAAAGGACCTGAATACACATTTTTCCAAAGAAGATACATGAATGGCCAACAGGTACATGAAAAGATGCTTAACGTCACTAATCATCAGGGAAATGCAAATCAAAACACAATGAGGTATCACCTCATGCCTGTTAGAAGGCCTAGCATCAAAAAGACAAGACGATAAATGCTGGCGAGGATGTGGAGAAAATGTGCAATGATGGTGGGACTGTAAACTTGCACAGCTACTGTGGAAAACAGTATGAAGGTTCCTCAAACAATTAAAATATGATCCGGTAATTCCACTTCTGGGAATACATCTGAAAGAAACAAAAACACTATGTTGAAGAGATATCTATACCCCATGTTCAGTGCAGCGTTATCCACAACAGCCAAGACATGGAAACAGCCTAAGTGTCCATCGATGGATGACCAGATAAAGACATGTGGTGTATATATATACAATGGAACATTACGTAGCCATAGAAGACAAGGAAATCCTCTTATTGGTGATACCATGGATGGCCCCTGAGGGCAGTATGCTAAGTGAAGTCAGTCAGACAAAGAAAGACAAATACTGTATGAGCTCACTTATATGTGGGATTAAAAAAAAAAAAGCCAAACTCATAGAAAAAAAAGATCAGATTTGTGGTTACCAGAGGCAGGGGGAAGGGGGATAAATTGGATGAAGGTGGTCAAAAGGTACAAACTTCCAGTTATAAGATAAATAAGTGCTAGGGAGGTAATGTACAACATGATGACTATAATTAACACGGCTGTATGCTATAATGAAAGTTAAGAGAGTAAATCCTGAGAGTTCTCATCACATGAAAAAAAGTTTTTTCTTTTTCTTTTTTGTATCTGTATGAGAGCATGGCTGTTAATTAAACTTATTGTAGTAATAATTTAAGATATATGTAAGTCAAATCATTATGCTGTACAACTTAAACTTGTACACTGCTGTATGCCAATTATATCTCAAGAAAACTGAGGGGGAAAAATTCTTTACATTAAAGAAAATGTAATCAAGATCACTCCCATGCTTAAAACTTACCAATGGATTCCAGTATCATTTAGACAGAAAGGTAAGGTGGTCTGCTAACTTCAGCATGTCCCCACTAGACGATGCGCTCCCTCCAGGCCAGAACCCTGTCTTGAACTCATCTCTAGCACTCCCGGTCCCTCAAAGTGCCCAGTACACAACAGGCGCTCAGCACCACTGTCTCCTCGGACAATCTCACCCATTCCCCCAGCTTCAGTCACCATTCTTACCACAGTGTTTCTCAATCTATACGTAACTACACACTGGATACCTCCATTTGAACCTCAAAGGCACCTCAAATGTAACATGTCCAAAACAGACGTTTAATTCTGTCTCTCTTCACCTCATCTACTCCTGCCTTTTCTTCCCAACTACCCCTCCTTTACCTCCCCCCCAAAAGTGTTCCTACAATTAATCTTTTCTTTCTTGGTATAAACAGGACCACTCTCCTCTCAAGCCAAAGATTTGAGAAGCAACACTCTCCTTTTAAATTTGCATCCAAAGTCATAACCAAGCCTCATCAAGCCTGCTTTCGAAATGGGTTCCCAAAGCCCTATGATTTTGACTTTTGCTTAGGCTGCTTCCTCTGCTTGGAACGCTTCTCCTTTTCTCCCTAGCATGGTTAACCAGGTCTCCGCTTTGGTCCTATCTCCCAGGAACCCTTCCCCGCCCTTCCGACCTAGTCAGAGTGCCGCTCTTACGTGCGTTCTCCTATCACAGCCCGGGTCCCTCTGCAAGGCCACCGCCCTCAGGGAAAAACCCGGGTCCTAGCCCCTAAACCTAGCACGGCGCTTTGCCCAGAGCGGAGCACTGCAGGCTAAGTGAGGGAACGAACGAGCAAACGCGGCGAAGACAGCCCGTGCAGGTCCAGGGGAGAGCCGGCTGGGCCCAGGGGCGCGCCGCGGGGAGAGCCAGGGCTCCGCAGGCGTCTCGCCAGCCCACAGCTCTCGGTGTCCCCGGAGAAAGCTCCCGCGGCCGTGTGGCAGGTCACTTACCGGCCGCGGAGCAGAGCCGACGGCATGGCATTCCCGCCCCGCAGGGCGCGGGCAGCGGCTGGAGCAGGGCGCCGGGCAAGGGCCGAGCTCGGGCCCGGAAACACACCCGTTCTGTGCCCCGAGAACCCGTCAGGAGGCTCCGCAGGGAAACAGACACTCCGAAGGTCGCCATGTTATCCAGGGGCCGCTTGTGCCGGAAGGGGCTGGAAGCGATTCCGGGTCTCGCGCGGTTTGTATGGCATTCTGGGAAATGTAGTCTAGATGAGGGAAGAGGGAGCCGGAAGCGACGCAATTTCTAGGACTTTTATAGTTTCTTGTAAACCGCTTGTTCACACGTAGGTGTTCATGTTCTTCTCTGTGCGTAGAGCCAAAGGTAGAACTCACACCACCTTCCCTATGTGCTCTTTTTCCTGGACTTTTCTTTCGTTTCCATGCGTCTAAATAACAAATTTCCATTTCCTGCCCAAACTTCTCCTAGCCCCAGGTTTAAATCCAATTGCCTATTCAACTTCTCCATTCAAACTTCTCACAGACAACCCCTCGACACACACCTTAAATATAACTCCTGATTCCAAGCCCCGATGACCACCACTACCACCATCCCACATTGACTCATATACCTTATTCTCTGTCTCAGAACCTTACTCCTGTCCTTCATAGCCCTTTTCTAAATTTGTGATTATTTTACTCATTTACCTACTTACTTATTTTTCTCACTCCATGAAGACAATGACTCTCTGTATTTTGTTATAATATCACCTAGCCTGGTACATCTATGTGCACAGCAAAACGTCTGTTTTGGACATGTTACATTTGAGGTGCCTTTGAGGTTCAAATGTTGAATAAATGACTAAATGATTAAATGATCGTGTTGTGTTCTTCCCAGCTGTCCAGGACGCGCAGGGCTTATCCTTCCCTAGACTATCGGTTGGTGCCTGTACTAAGAACTTATCCGAAGGCTTGGCTAAAGAAGGGTGTTAAGTCAACACTTGTTTGAATTAGCTGGACAGGCAGACTCATCTTCTAACCTCACCTCTTCCCCTACTGCCCAGTAAGAGCTCTGTTTGTGAACTCTTTCCCTATTTGGGTGGGGAAGGAGAGAGCCCTAGGCTTGGTGCTGCATTCAGGCATGAGTACTGCCCTGTGCTTCCCAACACTTCCTCTGACACCTACATGATAGCCAGTGTCAGAGAGTGGTAGTGGGATGCATGCAAGTGTCTCCCAGCCCATTCCCCTCTCTGAGAATTGACCACCTACTTCTCTCCTGTAGCCACTGCTGAGAGGATAGGCCTTAGTGGCTATGTTTTTCCTGTTAACATCCCCCCGGACAGAACTGATGGGGCGATGGTGGATACCTAATGCAGGAGGAATGAATCCATAGGCTGCTGTATTAGTTCTATGTAGCTGCTGTAGCAAATTACAACAAATTTGGCGGCTTAAAACAACAGGAATTTATTCTCTCACAGTTCTGGATGCCAGTAATCTGCAGTCAGTATCACTGGGTCGAAACTGAAGCATCAGCAGAGCTGTGCTGCCCTCAGAGGCCCTAGGGAAGAATCTCTTTCTTGTCTCTTCCAGCTTCTGGTGACTACAAGCATTCCTTGGCTTACGGCTGCATCACTCCAGTCTCTGCCTCCATCTTCACATGACCTTCTCTTCTGTCTGTACCCAGTCTCCCTTTGCCTCGCTATGATAAGGATATATATGATTGCATTTATGGTCCACCTGGATAATCCAGGATACTCTCCCTGTTTTAAAATCTTTAGCTTAATTACTTCTGCAAAGACCTTGTTACCATATAAGGTAACATTCCCATGTTCCAGGGATTAGGAGGTAAATATCTTTTGGGAAGGAAGGACATTTTTCAGCCTACCCCAGCTGTCCAGGCACCAAGCAGATTTTCTCTCAATATTTCAAACTAAGAAACACAGAAACTGCAGCTGATGGCAGAAGCTTGCAGTGAATAACTGTTTAGAGTTAGGTTTAGAGCAGCCTTTTTCAGCAATATGCTCACTACTGAATGAGCAGAGAAAACCAGTCTGCAGAGAAAGGCGGGAAAATAGAGCAGAAACAGAGATGGCAGACTATAAGGTTTGAGAAAGAGAGAGATGGAGAAAGGTGCTATCTTAGTTGGAGATTCTCCCATTTTCTTTTCATTGACTTCCTTTACTTGGGCTAAACTAAGTCTTATTGACATGGAGTAACCAAGATTCCTAGTTCCAGCTGTAACCTTGGGCAGATGCCCACATCTTTCAGAGCCTCAGTCCCTCACCTGCAAAATGGGTATAATGATAGTACTCACCTTGCAGACTTTGAGGATGAAGTACTTTCAGGATCTGTGCTTGGTATTTCAAAGAGGGGGTGCAAGAAGGTCATATTGCAGCAAGTCAGTGGCTCTCTGAAGATCTTCAGAGGAAGAGCTTAGTGAGTTACATTTGTCAGTTAAGATTCTCTGGTTGCAAGCAACAGAAATCTTTCCTGACTAAAACAGAGATGGAATTGATGGGAAGTATGTTGAATTTCTCACAGGGTTAAAGGGAAGACTGAACAGCCTAGCTTCAGAAAGGACTTGAAGGATGGAAGCTCCAGGGATCCCAGAGGAAGGAATTCAAGAGAAATCTCTCCAGGAGACTGCTGTCAGAATGCCATGGTTCCAACGATGTGCTTTCCATCAAACTCAGGTTCCTGGTGAGAGAAGCTGATTTGCCTGGGTGGGTGCTGTTCATCCCTAGGCAGTGGAGGGCTGGCCTCTGATTGACAGTCTCTGGCTGCATCTAGTGGTAGGACTCCTCAAGTCAAATCTGAGAGATGGATCACCAGCTCTGTAGAGCAAGAATGGGTCTTATTTTCTATAAAACAAAAGAATAATGATGTTTCAATTACCCAACTGCCAGTGATGTTACAGGATCTGAATTTATCATTGTTTCCCTAAAGGGACTGGGATTTTGCCCTGGGCTTTTAGAATTCTTCAAGATGAGAGTGTGGGAGTAGAAGTCAGAGAGAGGGATGGAGAGACAAAGAACAATGCCTGATGGAGAAGAGTGAGTCTGGACAATCTAAGAACTCTGGCAATCTCCAGCAACACCCTTGCAACTTCTGTACAGTCTTCAAAACCTTATCTTTGAAGCATTCCCCAGGGACCACATCTGCCCCATTTCTGTCCTCACCCAGAGTGTTTTTCCTCTGTTCTTGTCCAATCTCCCATGTTGCTATGAACAAAAATTCCTTGGCCAAATCCCCTTTGTCTGCTGAGAAGGGACCAGTAGCAAGGGAAAAAGTAAAGAGAGTAGGGCCAAGTGATGATGGGAGGTTCCCAAGGAAGCTTCAGGGAATGAGATCCTGAGTGGGGACATCGGCCATTGATGGGACAGGGCGTTTGTGCCAGGAGGCAAGGAGTTAAAGGCAGGTAGAGTGTGCATAGGTTTTGAGGAGGGAATCAGAGGGCCTTCCTGCCTCTCTGCCTCTCTTTTCTCTAAGCAATGGTGAGAAAAGGTAGGGCTGTGCTGGGAGCTGCAGGAACAAGACGTTTGAAATAGCTGCTGGGGGCTGTGCACATCGCTGTGATGCTAGAACTTGAAGCAACACCAGCCCACCAAGTGGTGGGACAGTCTGCAGCAGTGCAGGAGAAGACAAACCAGGAACTGTAAGCCAGGAGGCTATTCCCGACAGTTTTAAACGAAGATGCCAAACATTTGAAGATGTGCCTGCAAGCCTGTGCAGGGCTGAATCTGAGCAGAAAAACCTTGAGCAACGGGGAGGATGTTGCAAGATGTAACAAAGCACAGCCCTCTCACTTGGAGTTTGCTATCTTCCCATAAATCCCGCTGGTCTTCATGGCAAATTGGTGAGGTAGACAGGGAAGGCACCAATATTCCCATCTTCTATATGCATAAACTGAGGCTCCAGAGTTAAGGCTCACCCAGTTTATTCAATACACAGACAAGGCTAAACTCGGGCCCCTGGCAGCAAAGCTCTGTTATGGTGGCAAAGTTCTGTTCCACAAGTGTTTCATGTGGTCAGGAAAAACACCGAGACTTCCAGAAAAGATATAGACTCTCTCCTAAGCCCAGAATGTGGCCCAAAAAAGAGCAGGCAGGGAGACTGTCCTCCACCATGAGACAGTGTGGTGGATGAGTCAGCTGCTCCAGCCCTGGAGTTATCAGTTTATCTCCAGTTTTCTGCATGACACTCTGTCTCTTTTCTTGTGACAGTGCCCACTGAACTAAATTCCACCCCAAACTGAGCACTCAAAACAAAAATGATTGCCAGAGGCTAAGGCTACACCTGTCTGGAATGATAGGCAGACTCTGTCCTATAGCACATGGATGTAAATGTCAGAGGCATCGAGGCTGGCTCCTCCCTGCCATCCCGGATGCCCCCACAGTGATGCAGGCCAAGAGCAATGACCCCACGTCACAGCCATTGGGGATACGATCTACAAGAGCCGACGCTTGGCTCCCTGCTCCCGAGAGCTGGCTGCTGTCAGGTTTGGTATGTGGAACATTTTGTCTGAGGGACAAGCTGGCCTGGGTTGAAAGTAATTCCCATCAGCTCAGAACCGGGTGGTCTGTCACAAGGTTATTTTTCAGTTCGATCTGGACTCAGGAAGTCCTTTGGACTGAGAGGCGGTATTTCTAAGCCTGTCAGAAATTTCTTTCACAAGAAAATGTGATGCATCTGATTGTCCTGACTTGCATGCAGTCCCAGATCAGGGGCCTGAGCCTAAGTTCACTTCAGACTCGGGACGGCAGTGTTTGAAGGTTCCTGGGGCCTGGGCTGGGAGAGGCTAGCAGCAGGATGCACTCGTTGCTGCTGATGGGAAGCCAGAACCGGAAGGGCAGAATGTGTGTTCTCAGGGTGCCCTAAGTGTGTGTGTGTGTATGCACGTGCGCTTACAAGTATGTGTGTGTTTGGCTGTACGTGTCATGCAAATATGTGTGTCCATACATGTGCGTGTCTTCATGGGGCATTTGTGCGTGCATGCATATGTGTATATATGGTTGGCCATTGTGTATGCATGTGAATGTGCGTGGTGTTCAAATATGTATGGGCATGTATATGTGTCCTTGTATGCATGTACACACATGTGTGTACAATGAGCACGTGTGTGTGTACGGCCTTGTCAGTATACAGGGGAA